GGCTCAAGAATAAGCTTTAAAATTTTAACACTGTGTACAAGGGGGGGGGGGGGGAGCCGCGGATCCCACGGCGCCCCCCCCCCTGGATACGTCCCTGATCTAAGATAGAGTTGAGTGTCATCGGCGTAGGCATGATATCGAACTCCATGACTGCTAATGATTTTGCTTAAAGGAGAGACGTAAATAAGAAATAAAATGGGCCCGAGAATTGACCCCTGAGGGACACAACTCTCTACATTAATGCACGCTGAAGAGCTATTTCTAATGCGAACCTGTTGCTTTCTAGATGTAAGATAAGATGTGAACCATGTAAGAACTGATCCACCAATTCCAAGAGATGCAAGTCTGTGAATGAGTATTTTGTGATCAATCGTCTCAAAAGCAGCACTTAGATCTAAAAAAACAGCCAGAATACAAAAACCTTTATCAAGGTCAACCATTATATCGTTGTGGATTTTAACAACTGACTGTCTCAGTGCTGTAAAATTTTCTATAGGCCGATTGTAGAGGATCAAACAGATTATTTACATCAAGAAAATTAATAATTTGATTTGCCACACGTCATTTCTCAAGAAGTTTAGAGAGGAAAGGAGTGTTAGAAATTGGTCTAAAATTAGCAAGTTCATTGTGGTTTAAGTTAGGTTTCTTAATCATTGGCCTGATGATCCCCACTTTTAAGTCATCAGGGAAAGTGCCAGATGAAAAGGAAGAATTAACAATCTGACAAAACACAGGTAGGAAAATGTAATATTTTCGATAATATATTTTGTAGGGAAAGGATCTAATGAGCATGTCTTCGATGAAACTGTTTTTACAATGTTAAATATTTCATTTTCTTCTTGTTCTGTAAAGTTACTAATTTCAAAACCGTCGGCATCCGGCACTGAGAAAGCGTCAGCCGATGTGACTGGTAGAGATGCTCTAAAAGTTTTAATTTTATTGTGAAAGTATGTGTTAAATGCTTGTTCTAATTCAACATCAGAGGGTGTGGATGGTAAGAGAGTTTCTTTACTTTTACCGCAAAGTTTGTTCATTAAAGAAAACAACAGCCGTTGGTCACTTCCACATTTCTCTACTTGAGATTGAAAGTTTTTTCTATTGGTTAAAACAGAGTGATATTTTGCACATTGCTTCTTGAAAGCTGTTTTATCAACAGAATCACAAGGCTTGATCCATTTACGCTCTAATACGCGACATTTTCTTTTTCCAATACGACAATTATCGTTGTACCATCGAGACATTTGTCTCATGGTAGCAACCTAAAATTCACCAAGCTTATTCAAATATTCGTAGACTCCCCGACATAACCACTAGACAAACGCGAGCTTTAGCTTGGTAAGTTGAATCCCATACCAAAGTAGCAGGAGGTACTGCAAATGCAATTCTCAAGTGCACGTCAAGTAGGGCAAAACATCACTCCTAGTTATCTTGAGGTCGTGGGTTCGATTTCTACCCGAATCACTTGAATTTTTGTTTCGCTAGTATTGGATAACACGTCAGGTAGAGCAAATCATCACTCCAATAATAGTAATTATAAAATAATAACAACTAATAACTATTTTATTTCATTACTTATACAATGACTTACCTTTCAGCTTTTCCAGCTTTATAGTCAACGCCTTCCCTCGCTCGCTACTATTGTATAATGCATATATGAAACTGTCGAAATTATTATTAGATAGTGGTAATATTGAATTATTGTTAGATAAAGCCCACTAGGCCTACTCAGTAAGTGGCATGGTATTATCATCTATTCCAATATTTGTTCAAGATAAGCGATAAGAAGGTTTTGAGTGGCTTTCTATACCAGGGGGCGCTAGCGGGGGGGGGGGCCGGATCCGCCGTCGGGGAGAGCTTCCCCCTCCCCGTCGGGGAGTGCTTCCCCCTCCCCCGTCGGGGAGAAAAACCACAATTCGTCGGGAGAAAAAAATTACATGTATTTTGCACATCTACAGCGCCTGTGATCATTTTAATTGGATTTTGTTATATATAAAGTTATTATTATTATTATTATTATTATTATTATTATTATTATTATTATTATTATTATTATTATTGTGTGAATCCATAGAGAAAAAAAAAATAAAAAAGAAAATTTATTTTCTTTCTATATGATGGTGAAACGTACAATGTATTCAGCATGATGTAAACTCATGCAATATTAATAATATTATGAATGGTTTCATTGCCAAGACACGTGGGAAACAAGAGAGACACTGTGATTTAACCAATCATCGCACCGTGAATGTTAAGTTTGCACATGCGTATAACAGTTTACATCGTGACGGAATAATTTTACTCCATGCACGCAGCTCGTCTTGTTCGTACCAGATAATAAATACCACCATTTAAGTGTGCGGCGATCAATAACAACAAAAGGAAGGAATGGTTATTATATTACTATATTAGTATAGGCGTTGTGAAGGTTAGTATATGTAGCCTAGGCCTAGTGAGAAGAACGCATGTGTATATATAAACATACCCCTATAGGAATTGTAGCAGCAATTGTTTTAATGGAAGGTGCCCGTCTCAGTGCGTAAAATTCTGATTTTTATATTAACGAACGTGAGTTTACAGTATAGATAGGGGCCTAGATAAACCTAGCCTAGCCTACTAAGTAGTAGTAGGCCTAGTAATAGGCCTAGTAGTTCACCAGCCAGGCCCATCACTCAGATAGACCAGGGTTATTTAGCTAAAATCTAGGCCTAGCCCCTGAAATTTTTTTTTTTTGATAGCTAATTCAACACTATTCCTTTGTTTGAATACAAAATTCACTTTCTAAATTTGTATGACTGTGTCTAAACTTTCATGTGGGTTATAAAAGGAAAAAAAAATTGTCACAAAACAAAGGAATATCATCATTATCAGAATCGGGAAATAAATTAATTAAAGCAAACTTAATATGTTGTGTTTAAGTGTTACTTTTTTTGTACGGTTATTCATGTTAAGTATATAGGCCTAGGTCTCCATAATATGCGTTCTTTAAGGAGCACAAATTATATATTTTATCCTAAACTCATAATTAAAAGTTGAAACATGGTCCCACAAATTATGATCACCTAATTGATTTAGAGCAGCAAATTATCACCTGAAGTTAGGTCAAGTAATTAATCTCATGGTCACTCTAAGTTCTGAGCAAACAAAAATAAGAATAAACTTGACCAATAAAAGTTCTTCTTTCCTTAATTGCAAATTTTCCAGTGTATATTTTTTTAAAGGCCTTTTTAAAAAATATTATTTAAATACTTTATTTGTTTAAAATTTTGTTATTTTTATATTTAAGAGGCCTTCTTTGCTCAATGTTTCAGTTAACCCTGCAAGGTACCATCTTTGTAAAACAAATTTAGGCTACAGTCACACTAGAGTTTCAAGCCTGGCTTGGCTCACTGCGGGTGAGATTTTCGAAATGTGACCGCATCTGCACCGACTCGCGCCTGGCGGGACCTCGATCTCAATCTACCTATCTCGATCCCGGCTCAGCACCCATATTGACCCTTGATTGACTCTGGCGTGACCGAGATTGACATTTCCTCGTCGGCTGTTGACCAATCACAGTCGATGACGCCGTTGCGTTTAGAAGTTCTTGAATAAAAAACCCGTGAGTTCTTCATGTGTGTTCAATCAAGACGCAATCATACTTTTCATAAAAGTTAATTCAAATTTTAATTAATAATAATGCGATTGATTTGGAGCGACCAGGAAACTGCTGACCTGGTAGATTTGTGGGGCCAACCCGAGCTGAGAGACCGGATAGAAAATAAAAAAACAAACAACAAAACGGGAATTTTTGGCGTGCTTGCTGACAGATTAGCCAGTCTCGGACATGAGAAGAGAACGACGGCCCAAACTCTCTCTTTACGGCTCTGCTGTTTCGACTTTCATAATTTGGAGGTCAATCCAACTAGTGTGACTGACCCAGAATTTCGAGCCTGGCTTGAAATCTCACCCGCGTTGAGTCAAGCCAGGCTTGAGACGCTAGTGTGACCGTAGCCATAATAGAGTAACCTTCAGTAATCTGCTCTTGAGGCTAGGCCATTAACTGATTATTTTCAATCATGTTTTGAGTATGTAAATTGTAAAAGTCCATAAATTGAGTGTTTGCATTGATAAGGCCAAGTCTTTGAGTTGAATATTCATGATCACCTTTAACAAAATTCAGCCTTGTACTTGGTGCAAAATGTTTCATACATTGCTGGTACTACTGTTGTTTTTCCTTGGGACGCTTTACTCCAATGTTGTGTCTAAACAACACCTGGATTTGTGTGTGTAGGCCTACAATCTGCCTTTGGAATCTTGGACAACCCTGTCTTAATATGGTCTCAAGTAGTAACTATTATTTCTTGTACTGTATTATTTTATTTAGTATACATTGTGTATTCTTTTTATACATACTGTATTACCTTTGATACCATTACCAACAAATGAAATTTAATTTTATTGGGTTGAATGTCTTTGTGCACAAAAAAGAAAGATGCTCTGTGTGACTGCAAGATTGCAGTTTACCGTACAATGTACAGTAGTTCCTTGGGTATAATCCCTTCTTGGGTATAAGCCTACCCTCACCCCCCCCCCCCCACTTTACGCCTAATTTTACATATTAGCCATTCCTCGGGTAGAAGCCCCAGGGTATGATTTGAATGAGTACAGTAGCTTAGGCTGACTGTATAAGAGTGCTTACTCTATTTAAAAAAAAATCAAATATTGGCTTTGATAGTAGTAGGCATGCAGTGATGAAAAATTACCTTTTTAATAGTAATTAGAAATAACTGCTCTCTTTCAGAACTTAAACAATGACTGATACCGATGACAGATGCGGTAGTCCTCTCCAGTTTATCGACGGTAAACGAAACGTCTGGGATTTCACACGTAGCAGTAGCACTACCAGTGGCGTCGGTAGCGAGGTATGCACCCCGACAGCTTCTCGTAGCTCATCACCCGTGTTTACACGACTCATCGACAAGATTAATCATCGTATTGCAACAGGGGATAGATGGTTTTCAATTGAGTTTTTTCCACCACGGACCGCAAATGGTGCGGTAAATTTATTGTCAAGGTACTGTACATTAGGCTTCTTAAAAATAGTTATGGTAATATGTAACATTAGCTGGAGGGGACTTTTTTTAACTAATGATTTCTAATTTAATCAAAAGTAATAATAATTATAATAATATGATGGACACAATTTGTTTTAATCAGTTAAATTTATGGTGCTAAAGTGTAAGCATTTGTAATTTTATAATATTCTCTCTCTCAATTCAGCACATGCTGCAATAGCTGTTTTGTATGTGACATTTTTTTTGCTTGCAATAAATATCCCAAAAATAACATCTGTAAACATAGTCCTGAGAAAACCGAAAGGTCCACTGATTAATCTCAGATAAGATAGTATAATACATATTCCAAGTATCGAAATGCACGCCATCGTGTCGGGATTCAATATTTCGACATTAATTATGTCATCATTAGGAATGTTGTGAGAGTGTGGAGGTAACTCCGCATCTTTTAAAAAAGCTGTGTGCTTGACTTTCTCTTTAAAAAATCCTGTGGAAAATAAAAGAGATCATCTTAAAAATGGCATGACAGATAAGAGATCTGTTCTAGTGCAGCAGCAACACAATATGTTAATCCGTAATAAAAAGTGTACTTGGTTTGGCAAGCATTGTTTTGTAAATCTGGTTTGGTATTTCAATCCTAATGTACTTGAAAGCTAAACTCAGAATTATTCTCAGACAAAATAAACAATTATTGAATACAATGGTTATGTAACCATAAAGCCATGGACGGTTTATGTTGACAATACATTGCAAGATTTCAAGTCATATATAGTTTTATTTATTTATTGCCTACCATACTTTACTACTGTTTGTCTTTTTGGGTTAACAGTACAGTAGTCAAAGTTTTTTGTACCACATATAAAAACACTTATATAAAAAAGACAAGAAAAAAATATTCTTAATTTACAGGTTACAGGTATACCAACTAGAGAGTCTTTTTAATTTTAGTTTTTTATTTGGAATCACTTTTGTTATGATGGCACACATCAAAAATGAAGGTGCATCCAGAAGATAAAAATGGAACAGTAAATTGAAAGGAAAAATAACTTTACTACTAAAATCTTTACAGGACAAAAGGTTTGGAAGATAAATGACGTTTCATTATAAAAATTCACTAAAATAGTCAATTAAAAAATAATAATACAGTAATAAATAAAATAAACAATTTAAAATATTGGTGGTACTTGGGTATTAAAGTTCTTTTGATCTCAAATACCATGCCTGTTGAATGTATTTTTTACAATATTTATCAAAAATAATTTTCATCTATATCAGACAGATCAGCTAAACATATATGTTTAAAATAATTAGAACCATGAAAATGAAATCATAGTCAACAAGTGGTTTTATTCCACCAAAAACCATATTCTTACACTTTGTGTACCGGCGGTTTGAATATTTTGTTATATCAATCGTAAAACACATTAAAATATGTTTAAAATATTGAAGTAAATTGAATTATTTGTAACCCACACCTTATAGTGATGTCAGTCTTTTGTTGGGTTGATTACCTCAAAAAGAAAACAAATGCCGGATAAGCGGTCAACCATTTACTTGATTTGAGTATGGTGGTTATGTGTCAAAAAGTTTTCCCACACATCAAATATTCAGTTGTGATGTACACATTTTCATTTAGTTAATCATAATCGCTAACTCCCTCGTACTGTGAAGCCATAGTATTACTGTATAGCCATAGTATATACTGTATGTACTATATATGGTAAGCATGTAGAATTAACAGGTCCATGGAATTAATGTGTTGACTGCCAAGCACTCTTTTCCTATTTTCATCCCATGAAGCCAAGGCTTAAAGGGTGCCACCATAATGAATATCATTCTCATCAACTGTAATGAAACACAAACAAACATACAGTATATATTTTCAGATCCAATAATCCTGGGTTGTTCTCCCTCAACCTCCAGGGCGAGAGTTCACATTCTTGTGACCATTGCCGGCGAGTTTATGTGCAACATTACAAATTTAGACAGTTGCGAACTCACATCTTTGGTGCCCTTAGTGAACCCTGTCGGACGTGAACTCGCGTCCCTGGCAGCGAATGTATTATTCTGTACTATTATTAGTTTTAGCAATGTCCTATTTTTATTCGTACTGTAATTATTTCATCAAAGCATTTCATTTGAAGGATTATATTTGGTAAGGTGTCAAGACGAATGAGTACAGTAGTGTTGTACAGTGTATATTCATTTTGTGATGACACAAATTTTAAAAATTTGCTGTATCATTATTTACCAGTATTACTTACAGTAGGTAAATGGTGCTTACATGCCAAAACGAGCATCAGTGACAAAAAAACAATAAACAAAATTGACTTTTTATTATGTTCAAATTCTCCACATGAACTTTAAAATGATAGGTCATTTTACTGGAATCAATTTATTGCCAAAGTTGTGAGTAAAAAGTATTACAGCTTCTCTGTACTAAAGTATATAATATTGCCACATTCTTTGCTAACTGTAATTACTGTATACTCAGTTTAAAATTTAGCATAGTTTTAACATTATAGTGGCAGTATGCCAGTGTTTGGATTGCAAACCTCAAATTAGTAACTGGTACCAATGCTTTCTGTAGATTTGACAAGTTCTTGGAAGGAGGTCCTCTGTTTTGTGATGTCACTTGGCACCCGGCTGGCAATCCAGAGGGAGACTCGGCAACCAGCTCTTTGACTATTGCCAGCTCGGCATTGAACTACTGTGGACTGGACACCATGCTCCATCTGACCTGTGCAAGGCAAACTAAGGAGAAGATAGCATGCACACTGCGAAGGGCAAAAGACCTTGGAATAAAGAGTATTCTTGCACTTAGAGGAGGTTAGATTCTTTTGAAACTCGTTTCCCTACCCCCACTTCTTGCACTCAGAGGAGGTTAGATTCTTTTGAAATTCTTTCCCCTACCCCCCACTTACCAAAAAAAAGAAAAAAGAATTGTCAACACCATACCTTATATTCATAAAAAATGTGATGGGCTCTGGGAAAACCTTACATTTGTTGCCATTTCTAATTTCGCACCAGTATCCAAAACATTCAAGAATCAGAATTACTGGTTTATAAATTATAATTTGCAGTTTATAAATAAAAAGATATCGAAAAGCATTTCTGCAAACTACTGTATCTCATTAAAATCTAAATAAATAGTATATTAGTATTATTTTTAAAATACAAGTCCTAATATCGATTTATGGACTTTATTGTCTGCGCTGGTTCCGCTCTGCCTACCAGGTCAATGTTGTATTTGTTTTCCGTATGCAAGAAAAGAGAAATTGAATAGAGAAAGAAATAAAGAATAAATTATTGATTTTGGAATCATTAGAAGCTGTTTTCTCAGAATCTACTTGGCTGATATCCAATGAATTAAATATTCATAATATCGCTAATACTCAACTAATTTCCATCAAATAAACACTTTAAATAAGAATTGATGCAGAATCTGAAAATACCAAAAACTCAATTTTGAATTTTTCTGACAAACAGGCTTGGGTATTGCCAGAACAATGTATTGTATGAACATGTTTATGACAGCCAGCTGTCAAGTAATATTTACAAATTGCAAATAGAAAAGTTAACCTGAGGGAAATTTATTCATATTGACAGTTTATTGGGTATGAAATTAAATAGTTCTTATCATCATACAGTACAGCTTGTGATATTTTGGCAGTAAGAAATCTTTAAAATGAGTAACACAGGCTTTCGACGTTCTGTAGCAATACAATATTAATGTAATGGCAAGAATATAACATGGTATATGGATGTACTGTAACTATGTTTTCCAGATGCCCCAGATGGAGATGAATGGACTTTCAATGCTGATGGATTTAACTATGCAACAGACTTGGTTCGATTCATTAGGCAGGAGTTTGGCAACTACTTTGTCATCTGTGTTGCAGGTGAGTGTATCTGATCGCTTCTCAAATTTTTAAACTTCATTTCATGTTTGAGTCATATAAATGTCATTAATTCCTTCAATTGTATAAAACCGTATTAACAAAGATCAATACTGGAAATATGTTTTTTGACTATTACCATTAGTACTTCTGGTATTAAAGCCCACACCCCTTTTACATGCAATTTGTCCTCTTTAAATTTTGATTTGTAATTTTGATGTACAGCTTTTTTGATATTAATGAAATTTCCCCTTAAATTTTGGGATTTAAAAAAAAAATGAAATTGTAGATAGTTCCTCCATCCATTTGTGCAATCTCTTCAGTTAATCTCTTTGATGTTTTTCTTTCTATTAATTGTTGTCCTTGTTTTGCTTTTTATGTTTTTTTTTTTTTTTTGGGGAGGGGGTTGTGTTTACTTTTGAACGAAATGAAAGAGAAAAAAATGAAAATTCTACTCAAATGTTGAGCCAAAGATGCAATTTCTGACCATCTGTAGGTGCCATGATCATAAATTTTCTTAACTCAGCCCCAACCATGGTGGGGCTAAGGTAGCATAGACCCGCAATCTTTGAAAGTCCCTCCCTGGGCCCCCTCTATTAAAAATTCCTGGATCAACCACTGAGGAGTGGGCTTACATCCAAGTGGGCTTTACCCAAGGAACTACAACATTAGTATTTTTAAAGTAAATTCGAAAAGACCTCATGTGTCATGAAGCTTACATTTCTGTGTATTCACCACCCATTGACGTAACTGTTTGTTGTGACGTTTCAATACTTCTTTGACAATAAAAGGTTTTTTCAGGCTTTTTGTAATTGACGTAGGTACAAGTGTTTAATTCAGTTCAAATGACCTGGACTACTGCCAAGTTTAATAGAGAGGCCAGTGTTTGGATTTTTTTATGATTTCAGTAAAACAGGAAAAAACAAGTTAATTTCCAGAGAATAAAGTATTAACATATTTTACAGGGAATCCATGGGGCTTGTCATCTGAAAACCAGTATCAGTGACCAAAACAAGAAAATTGACTTTTTAATATGCAGTATTCATATTTTAAGCTTATATTATAATATTATAATATTATAATTATATTATATATAATAATAATATTATATATAATAATATATATATATTATTATATATAATATAATATATTATATATATTATAAACTTGTTTATGAGGCATAACACGTATTCATGGCAACAACAACACGCTCTGATTGGTCAGTTGTGATTACCACTCCAGAAAAGTTTTATAAAAAAAAAACCAACATATTCTTTGATATACATTTCACAGCATTTTGATTATCATGTTTATATATCAGATGTGAAAATTTAGGCCTAATATCCTTGGAATTGTATTTTTACTAGGTTACCCTCACGGTCACCCAGAAGCTGAAAGTTTTGAGGATGACATAATGCACTTAAAGGAGAAAGTCGATGCTGGTGCAGACTTCATCATCACCCAGCTGTTTTTCCAGTCCAGCACGTTCCTTAAATTTTTAAGCACTTGTCGTGAAGTTGGGATCACGGTACCCATTATACCTGGAATTTTACCTATCCAGGTATGAAAATAAAGTAAAAGGCAACATAAATATATTTAACTACAATATAAAGTATACAAAATTATAATTAGGTTGAGAAAAGTTCATGTAGCATAATATTATATCAACAGATTGTATTGTCTAATAAGTCGCATTAATTTATCAAATTCCAATTGATATTTAACATTCTTAAATTGGTAAGAAACTGAGGTTTATTATACATACAACAAAACAGCACAAGATAATAGAAAAAATCGGAGAGTGATAATAAGAAAGAATGAGGAGTATGATTGTTTTTAAGAAAGTGTCTTTTAATCTGTTTTTTATATGTAAAGGTCTCAAATTTCATGAGCAGAACGTAAAGATTTTCAAAGAAATACTGTAAAGCCCTTTCCAGACTATAAAATGTTATTTGACAACAATATGTGATATGCCTAAATATAGTCATGATGACATCACATCATGACCATATATAGGCACATCATGACTATATATGAGCATACAACAGTTTTTTTTTTCAAAAAAAATTTTATAATATGGACTTGGTGGCGTATGGATGTGGTTGTGTTATATTGATCGACAAGTAATCACTCCAATTTTGTATTTCTTCCTCTTTTTCTTAATGCACAATAATGATTGATTTTTTTTTTTCGAATAGTCCCATTTGGTGTTCCTTTTTATCTGCCATTTTTCCTTAATTTTATAATTTGATATTTTATTTATAGGGCTACCATTCTATGAAGAACCTTGTAAAACTCTCAGGACTTGAAGTTCCAAAGGAGATTATCGATGTTGTAGAACCCATCAAGGATAATGATGAAGCTATCAGGAACTACGGCATCCACCTGTCAACACAAATATGTCGTGATCTCTTCGATAGGTAAAGTTTAAATCCAATAAGACAAATCGGTAATTAAGATGCTCGGTAAACCATGACTCATTCTTGGAGGATGTTTTTAGTTATTGTAATTAAAAGGTTCTCAGGGACGGATTTAGGGGATGGGGAAGGCCGGGTTACTGGCTTCATAATGAACATCTTCTACAATCAAGCTAAACTTCCACTCTACTCACTTGCATTCCAATCTGGTCTATTGTAATTTGGCTATAATAATGCTGCATTCTAATCTTTATAAGTTGATTTAATTTAAATATTATAGCTGAATTAGATTAGGCCTAACTGTCTCTGTTTACATTTTTATACAAGATACTACATGGCACAGCTGTATGTTTTCATATTTCATTATTAAAGCCATGTAAATTATTATATTTTAGATTATGCATTCAGAAATGTCCTTCATTCCTCATAAAATTTGTTCATGCAATAATCTAACCATTATAATAATTTCCATCCGTACTGTATGATACACAACAATACTATTTGTTCATTAATAAATATCTTCATTCAATCCTGGAGAGTGCATTTGCATTTGGATGTGTGAATACAGTATACCAGGATAAAAATATAGTTATTTTTCATCAAAACTGCTGTTTTGTTTGCATTTATGTATTATCACACAGCTGGTTATTGCATCATAAATTTGCATTACCAGCTGCAAACAATGTTATTTTTAATGACATGACCTGGATATTTCCCAGGGTATTATTTTTTCCACTTACCACTGTGATGGAATTTTCCATCACAATTTACTGTAGTGATGTGTGAGATGTGCAAACATAGTTATTCTGGATTACCTCAGATGCATTGCAAAGTTTGTTAAAAAAAAAATTATTCCTCAGGGATAGCGGAAGTCTTTTAAGATGTTTAATTAATTTTTTTTTTTGCGGGTTTTAAAGTATCCACCATATCGGTAAATCAAATTTCCCAGTGGTTAAAGGAAATTCCCCTTGGATCTTGCAATTTCTACGGAGATTTTAAATTTCTCCAGGGTTGGTGGGTAAAATTTCTCACCTGGCCGGGCAGAATTTTCTTTGCCAGATGGAGAAAACTACAGAGTAAAAATCTACTATACTTTTCTCCCTTTTCAAAATATTCCATTACCTCCCCCTCCCCCTACTAGTAAGTCTTATCACTACTGGTTATTCATTAATTGCATGTTTTATTTTCATTATTTTTGTAGTGGTCTTGTCCAGGGCCTGCATTTCTACACTTTAAACAGGGAGATTGCTACTAAACAGATTGCTAAGAATTTAGGATTGTGGTGCAATGGGCCTCAAAGACCATTACCATGGAAACCAACAGCCAATCACACACGAGTAAGAGAAGATGTTCGACCAATATTCTGGGCAACTCGCCCAAAAAGTTATGTTTACAGGTGTGTTAATATTTAAATTTAAATATTAGAATTTTATTTTATCTCCAGTTTAGTATTGTTAGCTCAACCATTTATTGCAATATTTAATTAATGTAATAATAAAAATATTTTTTTTAAAATTTAATTTAATTTTTAGAATAAATTTTCATTATTAAAAGTTGATTTTTTTCCCCTTAAGTATAATAAATTAAAAATACTTTGTTTCTGCTTACCACCCTTATGCCATATTATATATTGTTAGTTATCAAGTAAAAAATATTGAAAAGTATTTTGTCATTTTATTTTGTTTACCAGAACGCAGGATTGGGATGAATTTCCAAATGGTCGCTGGGGTAATTCATCTTCTCCGGCATTTGGAGAGATGAAAGACTATTATTTGTTCTACTTGAGGAGCAAAGCCACCAAGGACCAAATGATCAAGATGTGGGGAGAGGAACTCACTTGCGAGCAGGATGTCTTTGATGTCTTCTCCTGTTACCTGTCAGGTGAACCAAATCACTATGGAAACAAGGTAAAGCAAAGAATATAGATGGTGCTGTAAATTTTAGTGATCGCAAACTTGGGTATTCTAGTGGGTGTAGGATTGTGTAGGTGTGTGATTGCTCTTGTCTATGTCCTAACCACCACCCCTATTCTAAAATGGACTATTCCTTTGTTAATGGTATTTCTTCTTACTGGCATTTTTTCCTACTGGCATTATGGCATTATTTCTGATTTCCATTCTGGTAACTGAAATAAAGTGTTTCTTTTCCTGACTTAGTTTTGGAAAGGGCAGGTGTCACTTTAGAAATTAACCTTTGACTTTTTAACCTAGGTGACCCGTATTCCATGGAATGATGATGAGATTGCACCCGAAACTCATCAACTTTGTAAGAATCTTGTTGAGTTGAATAAGCAAGGTGTACTGACAATCAATTCGCAACCAAATGTGAATGGGAAGGATTCAGCAGATCCAGTAGTTGGTTGGGGACCACCAGGTGGCTACGTCTACCAAAAGGTGAGTATCACTCTCCCTTCTTCACACATATTCCTGTCTACTGCATCCTCATCTGTCAACCCCGCTGCTTTTATGTCCTCCTTGATACAGTCACTTCACCTCTTCGTTTTGGCCTCCTCTCTCTGCTTCCAACCTTCAATTTCATAACATGATTTTCGCACGTCTGACTACTCCCTACTTCTTGTGTCCCCACCATCGGAGTCTCGTCTCTCAAAACTTCCCACTATGTTTCCATTGAAATTTACCTCTTGAGCATAAAAGAAAAATAATGGAATTGCTCTAGCTTCCATATATATGCCCTGTGTGAATGAACAATATCTTTGTCCAAAGGAACACCTCAGCATTTTCATTTCAGCCACTTCAAACTCTTACCCCATTCTTAATAGGATCAAAATTCTACTTCAATCAACCAAGTCTGGAAACATATCTAAGGTATATTGAAGACACATGCGAGGAAGCACTGAGAAGAAAACCAAAGAGCACAAGGCCTATATAAGTATAGACACAATAAGAAAGGTTAAAGCGAAAGGAAGTCGCACACCAGCAGAGAGACCAGTCAAAGGTAAGAGGAGTAGGGTACTTACAGGACAAGAAGAACAAGTGAAGAGATGGGTTGAGCATTTTAGGGAATTGCTCGATAGACCTCCATCCACTGATATGGCCTACATAGAGGCAGCTGAAACCCCTCTACAAGTAAAAGAGGACAGACCAAGCAGAACAGAGATCAAGAATGCCATAAACCACATGAGAAATGGGAAAGCAGCTTTGCCAGATGGTGCACCATCAGAAGTCATCAAAGCAGATATTTATTCATCGACGGAGATGCTGTACAGATTGTTTGGAAAAATCTGGGAAACAAATGAAGTACCAGATGATTGGAAAGAAGGCTACTTGATAAAGCTACCAAAAAGGGGACCTGAAAGAATGTAAAAACTGGAGGGTAATCATGCTGCTATCAACTGCTGGCAAAGTTCTAAATAAAATAATCCTGGAGCGATTAAAAACAGAATTTAACAAGAAACTTAAGAGATCAACAAGCAGGTTTTAGTAAACATTGTTCATGTACTGATCAAATTGCCACCCTGTCGATTATAGTTGAACAGTCCCTTGAATGGAACAGTCTTTTGAATGGAACTCTCCAATATACACAACCTTGAGAAGGCATTTGACAGTATTGATTGAGAAGTGCTGGGGAAGTTGATGCACCACTATGGTATCCCAGAGAAATATATCACCCTAATACAAAAGACCTTTGAAAAGTGAACACGTGTACATCTACAACGGAATTCTCTCAGATAACATAGAGATGCTCACAGGAGTGCGGCAAGGCTGTTTACTATCACCCTTCCTGTTCCTATTGGCAATTGATTGGATAATGCGGCAGACTACAAAAAAAAAACATCAAAAGGCATTCGATGGACACTCGCAACTCACTTAGAGGACTTGGACTTTGCAGTAGACGTTGCTCTACTATCATACAACCACAAACACAGCTGAGTGTCAGCAAAAACAGGCCTCAAAATCAGTAAGCCCAAAACCAAAGTAATGAGAGCCAACACCAGAAAGGCAGACAAAGCCAAATGTAATGACGAACCACTTGAAGATGTAGACAATTTCACATAACTTGGCAGCAACATCAGCAAGGATGGTGGAGTTGAGTGCGACATACAGGCAAGAATTGGGAAGGCAAGAACTGTGTTTTTCATGCTGAGACCAATATGGAAATCAAAGGCGATATCCAGAAAGACCAAACTACGCATGTTTAACACCAGTGTGTTCAAAACAAAGTGTGATGGCATGTTATTTCCCAGGACCTATGCCCCACAGGGAGCTAAAGGAAATAAGTCATAAGTCCATTCTTAATTGGCAGGCTACTGACAGTACCTGTTGTCGAATTTAATGATTGCTGGTTTTTTTTATTTTTTGCAGGCTTATCTTGAGTTCTTCACGTCCAGAGAGAATGTGATGGCACTGCTAGAGGTTCTGCAGGACTATCCACAGATCAACTTTCACATTATTAATCACACAGTAAGCATTTGGTGGTTGTTGGTAGAAATAACAGTAATTATTATAAGATTAATTGTAAGATGATTTTACAGATTGTAGGAGCGAGTGGTGCAGAGTGTAAGGTGTTGGACTTCAGATCGGGAGTTTCAAGACCGTCTCTTGTTGCATTGCCTGTGTACATGACCAAGGCACTTTATCTGCGCTTCCCTCTCTTCACCCAGGAGTATAAAATGGGTACCTGTTAAGATTGTATGGCATTTGCACCAATGATTTGCTCGTGTAAAGCAGCATGGCTAGGGATACTCCTCAGGGAGCAGAAAAAGTGTGTACAAAAATGTGCCGGTTTGCCCACTCAGTATCCAGTGACCAGGAAAATATGATGCCAGTGCCTTCAATATTCTTCGGATTGTGAAAGGCGCTATATGAATTGAGATTCTAAAAAAAATTATAATAGTCATTATAATAGGTTCGTTAAGTAGATGAACCTGATGATGATATTTTTTTTTCAGGGAAGTGAGAACATCAGGAATTCTGACGAGTTCAAACCAATCGCAGTAACGTGGGGTGTATTCCCTGGGGCGGAGATTATCCAACCCACCGTAGTCGACTCAATTAGTTTCCAGTATTGGAAGGTTAGTGCGTTGTTCTGTATTTCTTTAACTTGCGTTGCTCTAAATAAATATTCCCTTTAAATAAACAAAAATTAAAATTCTCACCCACGAGGAAATTTTTAAACTTAATTGCCTTAATGATGATTATGATTGAATATAATACAAAAAGAAATAATTATGGAATAATAAAATAGTATATGGGAAGAGGTACTATATACTAACATAATTTGGTTCTTTTCTAGCTTTAGCCAAAATGGTTAGAGTTTTATCAGTAGCGACTACAACTGCTTGAAATGTTTATTTATGGTACAATAGTCTAAAATTAGCATTTTTGGGACTTGTACTAACATGATCGGATAAATTAATAATATAATATATTTGGAAATGGATAAAATTCTAATTTTCATAACTTTATATCAATTAATAGATTACTAAATTAATATTTACACGGTTTCCTCTCACTATTGGTCACTAACTGGGTTTTGATTAATGATTGGTAGATGTTAAAAATTATAACATTTTATATTAATTTTATAATCTTTAAAATATGTACCTATTTTAATTTACACCTGCACAAGTAAATATACTATCCAATGTGATATGCTTCCACTTAAACAATGACCAAATCAGACTTAAGTAATCATTATGTTCACTGAATACACAGGATCTCTCATTGCATAAGATTATTCTTAAACATACTGAATATGATTGAATATCGAACGCAAAGTAAACCTTGTGTTCGTTGTGGTGATAACTTAAAATTCTACACTTTTGACCAAATTTTTCCAATTACGTTAATGAAATGTGATTACTTAACTGAAATTGTTATTGTTTTTGACCAATGAAAAAAAATTGATGATTGAATTATGTTTTATGAGTTTAGGGACATCCATTTTTTAAATCATTTTCAAGACAGTACAAAATATTCTCTATTCTTTGACACCCTCCCTCCCCTTAAAATAATACATAATGAAATGATTATTATTCTCATTTTGAGTTTTTACATACACTGTTTGCCCACTTCCCCTAGCATAATTTGTTGTGCTGTTGCGAAAATGATTAAAAATTAGATGACCCCCCTTAGTGGAAGCATAGGTATGATATTTTTTGTGACATAACATGATGCGATTTTTTTTTCTATTCTGATTATTCCCAGACAGAGTCAGCGTCCCACATCAGCTGGTGTTTTCTCAATTATCTGTTTAAAACATACTTTGACCTTTGCTCTGCTTATGCAAATTTTATGAACTTTGACTTTTAAATGCTAGAATAACAAAAAATAAAATTTCTCATTGAAAGATATTTGATATTTAGTAATTTTGTTGAATAAATGTTTAAAAAAGTGCAGATATAAAATTTGCTGTATTGCATGGCTTTGGTCAAATATAATGAAGCAGAAAGGATTATAAAAGAAACTTGTTTAAAAATAAATTAATTACTTAATTTTTTTACTTAAAATTTGTTTGCATATAATGTTCCAATTGGATAATCTTCATGCCATAATTTTTTAATAGTTACCTGCTATAGTCCTTTCTGGTTTGAAATTACATCTCCAAAAACAGTATTTTTCAAACACAAAGAAATATATTTACATCTCCCAGGGAAATGTAAATATTGCACATTTTTGGTTTAAAATTCTTAACAAATTAAAAAAATAATAGAAAATCCTGAACAGAGGAAAAGGAATAAAAGAACAAACTACAGTAAATAATTTTGTTTTATGTATGTTATTGGCTAAAAAGAAAACAAACACCAAAAAATACTGTCTTGGGTTTTGTAAAGAATAAATGAGGTTGTGTGTGTCTGTGTGTGTGTGTATTGTAAGTGCCACGAATCTAGCGTGTAACCGTCCAGTCGGGAAAGGTCAGTGAAGGTCACCAGTCGCTTATGCAGGTATATTAATATTGTAGCATTCATAAAGCTGCTGCATTAGATAGCTAAGTTCACAATGTTTGTTATCTCCATCTTATAAACATTATTTTATGTTGTTGATAATTATGTTTTTAATAGTCTTCTACAGTAAATTTAACTGGGTAAAGATCTGTCAAATTGTATATGACCAATTTTGTGTGAATTTCCTCATATATGGGCATAATGATGTCATATTACATCCATATATGGACATGTTGGTGTCATATCACATCCATATATGGGCATGATGAAGTCATCATATTCATATATGGGCATGATGATGTCATCATATTCATATATGGGCATGACGATGTCATCATATTCATATATGGACATGATGATGTCATCATATTCATATATGAGCATGATGATATCATATAGCATCCATATATGGGCATGATGATGTCATATTCATATATGGGCATATCATAGGTGTTTAAGCATGATGATGTATCATAATATTCATATATGGGCAATTCACAGTTATTTGTCGCATAAAATTTGATAGTGTGGACAGAGCCCTGTCCAGACTATCATTTGACAAAAACATGTGGCGTGCCTAAATATGGTCATGATGACATCACATCCTGACCATATATATGCATACAACATTTTTTTGTCAAAGACAATTTGATAATCTGATCAGAGCTTTGGCCATAGTAAAGTGATTCATCAACGTTGTCCTCAAATTGAGGAAATAAGGTGTAAAAATGGGCAGTTACATCCCTTTTTCCCCCCAATTTTTAAATATTAAAAAATCTGTATCTCATTCACTGTTCCCCAGTTTTTCGTCAAACAACTTTTTTCTATCTTTAGAAAAATCAGTTCTACAACATATCAACTTTTTTTTTTCCTCCGGAGCCTGACTTTAATGCATAAATATTTGTTTTAATCTTAAAAAACTGTTAATTTTAATAAAGCAGAATTAAACATTTTATATTTTTATAGTTACCATAAAGTAATCATAACTTAAAAAAATAATTTAATATAAAAAAATTAATAATTGCATAATAAAAGGAATATACTGGAAATTTACAATTACCTATTATTTAAAATATAGGAATTTATTTTTTTTTAAATTTCATTGTGAAATTTGTCTATTTTTATAATGAAAGTAGTAACACTTTTATACACTATGTAATTTTTATGTATGTTTCATAAAAAAAATTGCTTTAAATGAAAACACTATCTCAAGAAAAAGTTTCACAAGTCCCATGTCCATTCTTGTTTTAGAGCATTCCAACAGAAACATAATTAAATTTATACTAAAATTCACATTTCAATTATTTACTTAAAGTAAAAAAATAAATTAAATAATAATTTATACTCTCACTCATGCAAAAATGGTAAGAATTTCATCTTTCTTCATAATTGTTTACTTTTCTCAGAGAATTATTTAAACAAAAATACTAAATTCTCAAAAGAATGGATTCAAGAAGTAAGGCGCTGTCACATTCTTTCTACGCTGGAGCATTAGCTCAGAAGGCTAGAGCGTGCAGTCCAATAGGATTGTGCAGGTCGAAGGTTCGAATCCCTCATGCACCAGATTTAAGATGTTAAATGCACCTTCTGACTTGAATTCATGTAAATTATAATATATATATATATATAAATAATATAAATTTATACAAATACATAATAAAAATAATATAAATTTATGCAAATATTTAAAACTTAAAATTTAATTTTCATGAAGTTATGCCATTTTTGTTGAACTTCTTGTGGTTGGTTATTTTTGAAAGTAAATTATTGTGAATATTTATCAAATCTATACATTTTATGCAATTTTCTGAGATAAATTCAAATATTAGTTTATTTATTCCATTTATATAGGCAGCTCTGGTTAGCTTGGGTCTTGGCTCATAAAGCCTGAGTGTGTAGTCTTCCATTAAGCTGCCAGTCGAAGGTTCGAAACCTTCATTCTCAAGTTCAGAGCGCCAGATCTATTTAGCAAAGTTCATAAAAAATATCAAAATTTTTCTTAATTTAACATAACAACAACAACCATCAATAACAAATAACAACAACAATGATAATAACAATAGTAATAACAGTAGTAACAAAATAATAACAATAATATACTAGCACACAAAATTTATTAAACTTAATAATAAAATACAAAAACAAAAGTTTAAAAATGCATTAAAAAATTTACAAAATTTTTTTTTTATGAAAGAGAACAAAATAAAGAGAAAAGAAAACAAAAATAATCTTATTAATGAAAGAAAAACAATTATTAACGTAATAATTAAAAATAATTCATCTAAATAAGAAATAGTAATAGGGAACCAGTTATTTTCAACAAACATTTTTACCTTTTCAAATTAACGATTTGTAGCAATTTTCAATGATTTCCCAGTTGAAATAGAAAAGTTGTATACATATAATTTAATTGATTATAATTATGAGGTTTAATTGTTTCATTAGATAAAAACTGTTTATTTAACAAATATAATTTAAGTGTTTTTTTTAAAAATAAAATACAACTCAAACCAAATTGTATATAAAAAAGTAACAAACCTTGCTTTGAGGTGTATTTTTAGTAGTAAATTTGAGTATTTTAACAAGCCTGATTGAATTTAAAAATAACTTATCTGTAACCAGTCAGCCACCAACACAAAAATGTTGAATCATTGAGCAAGTTATTGTAGCTCCATGATGAAAGCAATATGTGACTTGTTTTTAGTGGTCCACTATATGGTAATTGAGTCACAAGTTCAAGAAATATTGACTATAGTTTTACGAAGTACTGCAATATATTAATTTGCCTGATTTTTTGTTTTCCTCTTTCAATTTTTTTTATACATTTCTAAAAATCATTTATTCTCATGTTACATGATCAAAATTGTATTATGTCATTACCTGAATCGCTAACATTCTGGTACCATTATTATTTACATTCTAAGTTTATTGTATTTTTGAATCAATTGTATAGTTTGCAGTACCTCAAATTTCAGTCATAATAAACATATACTACTCTGCCTTGTAAATCTATTAAAAAATAAAATAATTTCAAATGAAAATGTGAAAAAGTAACAATTTTCGGGCTAGTTAGGAGACATGGATATATTATCATGCCTATATTTTTAGTTTATACCCCTATATTCCTGCTAGCAAATTTAATATTTGTTTTAGTTAGTACCCCTTTAAATCACTGAAAACTTATAGTTTGACTTATAAGTGTTTATTTCAATATTAAACTCATACTGTTGTTGCAGCAACTCCAGTTGCAGTTTTTTTTTTTCAATTTTAGTATGTAGTATATCTTTTATATTTCTTGAACACTTATTTACCTCAGTTGACTTGTAAGAGTTTAGCTTCTTTACATTTGCTAGTGTTATCAATTTGTGTTATTGTTATTTGTTGGTATTATAAGAAATTTAGGGATATAGATGTCTTGTTCACATTTGATATAACTTTATTGTATTGGTTTATACAAACTTCAGAAAAAGGATTTTGCTTTTGTTTCAAATTTCAAGTATCTTTTTATGAGAGTTATATTTTAACCTCCATTTTGTATCCAGTTGTTGAAATTTATAAATGCTGCCACCCTGTGTGCACTCTGTTCAGCTGCTCTGCAAGATTAGTTACAATACTAAGCCTATGTTCTCATGTGGTTAGCAGGATCCGGATCCTGCTAACTACTGTATTAGCTGCCGTGCGTCCATACGATGAAATCCCGATCCGGATACCAAGAATATGATGATCGAATCATTGGCCAATAAGAAACTGGAAATTGTAAACGCATACGTGTGATTGGTTGATGATGGAAACGTGCTCAACTTGCTAACCGATAACGCTGGCTAACCGTTAGCGGTATCCAGATACCGCTGGCGGTTAGCGATAGCCGATCGGGCGTTCTCACGCAGGTGCTAACGGTTAGCGGTAAGGGTTAGCTCCTGATCCGGATACTAGGGCTCTCGTGAGAACCAGGCTTAAAAGTTCTAATTCACCATAACGTATGTGGGAAGGTTTTTCCAATGGTATAATGTAGTTGATTGGGGCTTGCCATGCCAAAACCAGCATTTGTGACCAAAACAAGAAAATAAACTTTTTAATATATTATTTATATTCTCCACATTATAAGCTTTAAAATAATAGGTCTTTTCCAGGTATTATGACTTCTCTGTGCTAAAGTGTACAATACTGCCACATTCTTATGATAATTACTCAGTTTACAATATTTAGGGACAGTATGCTGGTTTTTTGGATGGTAAGCCTCGTATGTGGTCAGAACTGTGAGGCATGTTGTCCACTTGACAGGCAGAGAGCTGAGCAGAATGTATGTATGTTCCATCTATAGAGGGGTAGTGGCATGGTGCTTTAATTACCCTCAGATGGGGGAGGAGGGCCACCTCCGTCGAGGAGAGCTAACCCTGGCCTGTGTCGGGGAGAAAAAACAGAGAAAAAAAAAATTAAATAATACCTTTGAAGCCTCTATATCGTCATAGTTTCTGGACCACTTCCGAGAGATTTTGAGCCACACCCACATCGGATTATTACCCCCTGATTATCCTTCCGCCAGTCCAAAATCCTGAGACTGTGTTTCTCTACTAAAAACAACTCCATTTTATAGAGCTCTCTTCACACTGTCAAGTTTTCTGTGACAAATATCTAATTTTTCCATATATAGGCATTATGATGTCATCACACCCATATATGGAAAAATGACATGCTGTCACACAAAACTTAATAGAGATAGTGCCAACAGAGCTATTGCTAATTACTGTGTGGTTACATAGAGTAGAGAATCACATGATATTGTTCAAGCCTGTAGGTATTCAGCTTTTATGCTACTGGATAAGAATTATATATAAAAAGATGATGAAAAGTTTGACAAAAGCAAATTCCCAATAATGAAGTGTTTGCTAATGATATTGGCATAAAATTAAAATATAATTTTTACAAGGTGGTAATATTTAGCTTTTCTCCTTTTGTAACAGGATGAAGCTTTTGGCTTGTGGAAAGAACAATGGGCTAAGATTTATCCTGATATGTCGCCCTCACGTCAGATAATAAACCATATTCACGACACGTATTACCTTGTAAACCTAGTCGATAATCATTACCCAAAAGGCAACATTATTTTTGACGTGCTTCAGAAGATGTTCAAATTGAAGGAAAACCACAAAAGGGGTCTTGTGTCCCTTGATGCATTGGAGGGTGCTAAGAAAATAAAGGTTTGTCATAATGAAGATAGGTTATATACCGTAAAACCTTGAATTGAAGCCCTGGGCTGTTTCTTTTTTTTCTTTTGCGAACTTTGGATGGGATCTTTTCAAGATGGGCTTCTTTTCGAGGCTACTTCTGCAAAGTAAAGAGTGGGGGCTTCTTTTCAAAATGAATGCTGTGAATTTTAGGAATTCTATGGTAATATAAAGAAATAAATATGGCCACTATAACATCAATCTGTATCATGGAGTTAATTAACCAGAATTAAATTACCTAATCTACTGTATAAACTAAACATTTACTTTAAAATTCAAGTACAGTGATATGTACTGTACTATCTCAAAAAGAAGCCTATGCTATCTTGAAAAGAAGACCATGCTATCTTGAAAAGAATCCTTTAGTCTTCTTTTCGAGATGGGCTTCTTTTCAAATCTAGTTATGCAAACCAAAGAGGGGGGCTTCAATTTGAGATGGGCTTCTTCTAGAGATTAAGCCCATTGGGCTTCAATACGGTAGTTGTTTAAATTAAATAGAGATATATATATATATATATTCTGGCTATTATTAATCAGGCTGCTTGTTCTGTTGTTTATTGGTGAAACAATAACAGTACATAGTTACCAACTGTCTCGCCTTTAGGCCTATTTACACAGAGCATGACAGCGGCAGAAAAAAACTATTTTTGTTCTTTATGGCGATCCACACAGAATGCGACAAGACTACGTGTTTTGTCTCAGCATTGAATGATAGTAATGTCCGCAATTTAGTCATTTGCAAAATATGTACATGATCATCATTTCATCATTGCATTAAAAAAAAAACATGATCATTAACTGTCTTGATTAAGATACCCTTCTATTAGTTTCTAGTGCCTTAGTTTTATTTTAAAAGTTTTGCCCTCACTTCCACTTATTTTCTTCAGACATGTATTCAAATTCTATAAGGTTGGTAACTATGAAAATACACAATTTATTTTAATTGCAAGCTTTGACTGAGTAGATTTTCTTTGCAGGTGGGTGGAGAAACACAAAGAAATCAACTTGATGAAGAAGCAGGAGGAGAGGGTTTCAAATGCTGATCTGAAAAGTCATAAGCACTTCATAGAATTGCGTACTTGTAGAGCTGCTTTACTAAGGTTCCGGTCAGGTGATTTTGGTCTCCAAGCCTCAGCTTAAAAAGTTAAAAACTTAAAAGCTGGATTAATGCCTAAAAATAATGATAGTATTGTATTTATTTATTTTCAGATTGCTATTGATAGAGTAGCATCAGAAAGCTGTTTACTTCATTCACTTGATCCTAGCAGTAGTTTTTTTTAAGGTTCACAGGTTGTTTATCAGTATTAATGTGCCAACAACTCTTTCTATGTAGGACAAAAATAGAAAATATCTGCTGTATACTAAAGAAAAGTTGCCGCTTTTTAAATGACTAACAAGTAATTATACCGGCCTAGATTAAAATATATGAATATCTACAGAGGTTTGCATGGCAAAGTAATAATATATAATATTAATGCTTGTGGTACACCACGCTTAGCTTATCTACAGAGGTCCGATGCCAGTTGTTATTGACGAATACCATGCAGCATCATTTTTTATGACCCACCGTAAGTCTAGTTGAGAGCATCTCAACAGGCACAGGCACGCACAAAATTTGATTAGTTCAAAAATGTTTATAATTGAGTAAACTTCTTTAATGTTGTTGATGTATGCTAACTGTTGGTGTATGTGTAACATGTATGCATAATCTAGATGATCAAAATAATGAGAATATAATATATTATTTAATAGTGCTACCCTCAACCAAGCACACTGCGCGACGGTCATTAGCCATTCCATAGAGAATGCAACATATGCGCAATGGATCATTTTTAATGACTATCTGCTCACGCTGCCATTTTCTACAAGCAGCAAGCGGCTGACAGTCGTGCTGTACAGTGTGTCTCTGGCTTTTAAAAACTGCAGAATTTTGAATTGGGATACTGTAAATAAGTAGGCTTATTCCCAGGCACAACTTTTTTAATAGTGTAGGTGCTTAAGATATTTGTTGCCAATTGTTGACTTGCCGAATACAATTTCATATTATTTAATACCGGCATTTATATATTATTTTGTGGCAAGTAATTCGATTACAGATTTGTATATGGTCATGTGACATTGGCATAGATGCTGTCTACATTTAAATATGAAATGAAATTTTACTATAAATGTGTAATATGAATATATTTCAGGAGTAAATTACAGTGTTTCCTATGCTGAAGCATGTTATGATTAATTTTCTATAATTTTTCTTTATAATTAATTTTCTATAATTTTTCTTTATAATTAATTTTATTAAATTATTTGTGGTTAACTTAGTCCTGCAATCATTGTCGTAGATAGAAAGTAGATGTTAAATACAGTTTGTTTCTTGTTCATTAAATGTAGGTCCTGTGTGGAATATTGTTAAACTTTCCTAAGTCGACTTTGCCTAACTCAGAGGCGCATTTTAAGAGACAGGGGGTGGGGTTGGCCAAGGTGGCCCCTTTTGGAAAGTTAAAACAAAAAAGGAAAAGAAATATTTGATAGTCCAAAACGTCACAGAGGTTATTTTCGGGCGTCTAGAAAAAAAAGATTTGCAAAGGCATGCCTCCGGAAACCCCTAAGGTAGCCTCACTTTCGGGCCCCCTTTTGGACATCTAAGGATCCGCCCTGTACCTCAAATAGTTTCTGAGTTGATCTTATTTTGAATTAACGATCTGCAAATCAAATTTTATCAAAGTCAATTTGGATTCAACTTAGGCAAGTTAAACTGTAGTTATAAAAAATACCAAGGTGATATTTCAATACATTTTTTCCTCTAAAATATAAGAATATATGTCTGTCCACACTATAGCTTTGTATGTGACAAATTTGGGTATGATGATGTCATATTACACCCAAGTATTATAAGCATATCACATTTTTTTAGTTTGGACAGAGCCTTAAGCTCTGTCCAAACTATAACATTTTTTGTCATGATGTAACTATATATGGTCATGTGATGTCATCATGACCATATTTAGGCATGTCACATATTTTTTTCAAATGAAATTTGATAGTGTGGACAGGGGCTTGCAATTTTCAACATGCAAATGCGTGGCCATAATGTTTAAATTGGAAAACTATAGCACAAACATACCCGCCTGGCACGTAAATGTAAAACCTCTTCAGCAGTGGCGGCTCTAGGATATATTTT